TCTTCCTGCCCAGGAGCACAGTCCCAGTTCTTGGGACCATTATACAGGGTGCTGAAGTCATTATTAGCAGCTTGGCTAACTGATCCTGTTCATGGAGTTTGATTTTAGGCTATTAGTGTGTAGCACACACAAGTCTCATACTCATGTCTCCTTCCTGGACAGCCCACAAGGTGTGAGTGGAGTGATTCCTTGCACAGGGAGGTGTTTTTAAGCCAGGAAAACAAACACTGAGGGTCATCTCTGCATGCCACTCTTTGCTGGATCTGGGAGAATTCTTGTATTCTCAGATCTGTGATTTGTTTTGGTGGGTAGCTCGAAGCTACACCCACGGGAGCTGATGTGGATAGAGTGGGAGCCGCTGTACTGGAGTCCCAGTATGGATTGACCTGGGGTCAGCATCACACCTTTCCATGGGGTTAAAAGCCAGAGGGAATTCTGGCAGTGTCACAAAGCTGACGTTGTCACAGCCCCTGCAAACCTCTGGGGTGGACGAGGCATCTCCAGCACGTCTCCTGGAATCCGGAATCCGGGAGCTGCGGGGGCTGAGAGACGCTGACGTCACCCCTGCTGTGTGCCAGCAACCCCAGGGCTTTGGAGACGGCTTGATCACCACTACTCTATTACAGCACCTAAAAAGACCTCTGGGATCGGAAGATGATTGCATCTCTCTGCTCTATTACAGCAACCAATGAACCTCCAGGGCCAAAGGATAAATGCACCATCTCTGGAGTATTATAGCATTTAGAAACCTCGCTCACTGACTCACAGCTATCTTCACCCCCCTTTCACCACCTTAACTTGTCTGCATCCAGCCACCTTCTCCAGGGAGGTTTAGCCAGATAATCCTTGTGCTTTTACAGTACCTATCTGTGTGCAGCACTGAGATGCGACCACACTACCTTTTCACTTCAGGAACATCAGTGTTGTGATGCATTTTCTAGCCCTTTGCTCTACAAGTGCAGCAAGGGACCACTGCAGGAGACCATTTCCACTTGTAATACAGTATCTGTGAACCTCTGGTGCTGCTCTGCTGTGACAGACAACCTGCTCTTGCATATCACAGGGTGGAATCTCTTCTCACACTGTTACAGATGCTTCAGAAGACAGCGCAGCACCTGGGAATGGCCATGGTATATCAGCAACTGGAGCTTACTGAGGGGAAGGAGGATACTTTGAATGTTCAGTCAGTGATCCTGGCATTTAGAAAGCACAAATTAATTTCTCAGACACCCTAGAGAGGTGGAGTTCTGTCATGTTACAGACCTGACTTGTAGATTCTGGGGAAAATCCTAAAAGCTTTCGGTAATAGAGGTTTTAGTGAGTTTAATGCCGATGGAATTAGAAGTCTCTAGGCACTCATTGTGAATGGATTTACATCAGGGAGATTAGGAAGGGGAAAACATTATTGGTGTCCAGGAGACCCAGGAGAGCAGCTGTCAGCTGGTTCACATGGAAGGTTCCCTAGTGGGCAGGCGCCCTGACAGCTAGGCAGCACACATGTGTGCACCCTGTCACACATGAACATTCACAGTGGGGGGTTTGCACTAGCCAGTTTTAGGGACACAACAAACATAAGTGAACATGGTAATGGTCTCTTCGTTTTGGCTGGCGTTCTCTTATGGGAAGACCCCTATGCCTCACCCAAGTGCTGCTGGCCTTTCCCAGCGTGTTTGCTCCTACCGAGGAGCATGGAGGAGGAAGACCTGTCCTCAGGTCCCTGCCTACAGAGACACGCTGAGGTGGAAGGACTGCAAAACAGTCTCTTTCATGGAGAGAAACTTTCCTTTCCTGTCTCCTTTCTTCCCACCAGAAACGCACCTGGTATGTAGCTGTGAAGTGTGACTGCAAAGTGCAGGTAACAGGGAGGAGGGGCAAGACCTTTGTAGGAGAATCTTGTGAGGTGTAGTAAATTCATAGTGGATTTTGTCCAACTCACAAAATCCACCCACATCAACTAGTCTGAGAGAGCAACCTGGGGAGGTGTCACTATATGCTAGCCAGGTTCTGTTCCTTTCACCACGGCCTCAGTCTTTGTCACTGCTGGAGAAACTGTCCTAGGGCCAGGTGGCCCTTGCTTGTGCTCTCAGATAAGAGAGGCATAGTCCTGTGGCGGGGGGTGGCCTTTTGTAGACTTTCCCACTGGGGCTGCTTTGCCAAGGCTGTGCTCTTCGCTGGGGGATCATAGAGGCAATAGAAGAAAAGACATGAAGAGACCTACAGGGTGAGAAGGATTTTGGCCTTAAGCACATGAGCTCGTTATGATCCTCTCAGGAAGGCTATGAGGGCCGATTTGTCTGCTGTCCCTCTGTTATCCCTCTCCAAAGTCCTCATCATTTGTTGGTGCATCTTGTTGAGAGCAGAGATCAGGGTTAATTTACCCTGGCTTTCTCTTAAGTGGGACGTCATCAAGCTGAGGACTTGATTCAAATCCTGCTTCAAAGATCTTTATCTCCCCTGGAAGCCTAGGAGAGCTGGCTGGGAGATCAGGCTTTGCTAAAGCAGGGAGCACCCTGCCCCAGGGAAGATGGGCAGGAGGGAAAGCAAGGTGCCTTGCCAGGGCAGGCAATAACCTGACTTTATCAACTAAGTGCTCACAGGCAAGCCAAGTGCAGAATTACCCTTTCTTTGTCTTCAGGTGAAGATGATGCCCTCTCCACAACATAGAGCAGTGAGCTGGGATTCATTCCTTCCCTCTTCTTCCTATACAGCATGGGTCGCTGTCTGTTGACTCTGAGGGGCTGGGTGGGAGGGAAAGGCTGCTGGAGTGGTTGACAGTGCCCTCAAAAGAAGGTGTCGAGTACCAGGGGTAGGGCAAGCAGGATGTCTCTGATGTTCCTCCCAGTGAGTGGGTAGATGCCACCCTCCATACAGGCGGAGGAGGAGATGGGAGCGAGGAAACGGCTAGGACAGAGGGTGAGCAGTCTCAGTGCCTCCCCAGGGGGCCCTCTTGTGCTGGCAGGAGGCGGTGGGAGTGCAGGGAGTCAAGGAGGGAAGGCAGGGAGGGAGGATGCTCTGCTGGCAGGCTGGCACCCGTGAAGCGGCAGGGAGAGAGCGGTTATTGTGGCAGACAGCCCTTGTCCTTGGGCTCCCATTTGTCATCTGGGACTTGCATCCTGGAGAGGAGAGGGGCTTTTTTAAGTAGGATTTAGAAACAAACACATTAATACGGTGTTTTGGGATGTGGCAGTGAGAAATCAGCAGTGATGCCTAGGCAGGAACTGGAGCTACACCTGGAGGTGCAGGCTTCATCTGTGGTGGGGAAGGCAGTAAATCTATTGCTGTGACCTCTTACTCTAGGGTGGTGTCCAGCCTGCCACTGCTGAGGGTATACTTGTCCTGCAAATGTACTGCACTTGAGCTGCTGGGTGTGCAGGGCCTGCTTTTGGATGGGTACACAGGGTTTGCAACTGACACTCTAAAAGCTTTTTTGTCCTTGCTGCATCTTGGAGGAAAGAGCTTCTGTCCCACTGTCTTTCTTGAGGCACCTCTGTTTCCGTTGGTTTATTCACAAGTGCAAAGAGAACCTTGGTGCAGGTGCCCCTCTCCTCGCCAGACAGCCGTGCTGGCTGTTGCAATAAGCTCATTCAGGCAGGATGCGTTCATCCCCTGTAAACAGTAGTTATTGCCTATTCCCAGGCAGAACCGTGCTTCTGGAGGACATCTAGCACAACTAACTCATCATGACAACCAGCAGCAACTTCAGGCTGCTTTCAGAGAGCTGTTTGTGGAATCACCTTTAGCACAAGATGTACACTTGCAGGAAGCCAAGCTGCTACACAGAGAGGCTTCTGCTTTCTGCAAGTGGTGTGTCCTGGCAAGTGCTGGTCCATGGCTAACATCACAGGGCAGCTACAGAGCTGTACCAGTAGCAATGGGTGGGACAAGTTGTACTGCTGTGAGCTTTCTTAGCAGGTGTGAGATGGAAGAAAGGTGTCCTTAGCCCAGTGAGACCACTGAAAGCACACAGGCTTTGCAGCTGTAAGGATACTATGAAATTGTCAGCTGCAAAAAACAGTGGTCTTCAGGCCTTGACTTAGATGAGGGCAGGTTCATGAACGTGTGATGGGGCACGCTCACCGCTTTCCTGGAGACAGGATAAGTTATTTGAGGGCAGCCTCTAGGATGTTCAGGACCTGTCAGTTGCTTTCTGGTGCTGAGTAAATCTGTAATTTTCCTGTTGGGACTGACTAGCAGGGATTCAAAGCCCTCTCATTTGCATGGTTAGCAGTGTTTATGCTCACTGATCTTTCACACTGCCCTGTGTGTGAAACTGTCCTCACCACAGAACACTGGGCTGAAGAGAGTATAGTGGAGAGTGGAGGCCAAGTGCGCCTTTGACTTACTGGAAGATTACAACACTGCCTGCAAGTCCACATGGGTGTCAGCATGGTTTATATTACCTGGCATGTTACATCCTCATAACGCACGGGAGGCTGAGAAGGGGCAGACTTTTAGCGAGGAGCTGCCTCTGGGCATTGCTGTTTCTTTACTTCATCCTTGGGGCTGGTTATCTGGGTAGTGTTGTAGGGTGACATGCATGAGGAAACATGACACTAAAACGGAGGACCCATGGGGCTGTATCATGATGTAGCCAACAAAGTGAGCTGCTTGCTGTTGCTTTGATGTGATCCTATGACAGTCTGATGCTTTATTCAAAGCACTGGTTACAAGTTCCTTACTCTTCTTTCTCGAGCACTTCGAGGCCAACCAATGTATTAATAAATTAGAGGGATTAAAATAAACAGTGCTTTGAAAATCATTAGGCATCCCAAATGCCTGGAAACAAACAGCAGTTGAAGTAAAAATACAAAATGCAAATAGACTGAGAACTGGGCCATAAAATGTTGTAGCCTAGCTCTGGGGCAGCTCTGGAAAGAAAAAATGTGCTTGTTCCCTTGTCTATTTGGGTTGAGACAAATGAAGTAGTACTGGGGTACAGCGAATGAGGAATGGTCCCTGTTCCTGCAGTGATGCAGAGCCTGCCCCACCAGTAGCTTTACTGGCTACGGAACAGGGATGTGGGGAGATGAGTCCACAAGCACCAGCCGCAGGCTGGAGCTAAAGCAAGATCTGAAGGCTGCAGACTGGAGACCATCTGGGTGAGCAGCTGTCCTAGGCAGCTCCTTCTGCTGCTCTTGGTCCTGACCCTCACCCTCCAGGCAATGCATACCCAATTCTCTCTTCCTCTCATCTCATTGCCTTTCTCACTCCAAGCCCAGGTCCTCCTTCCTTCTCTGAAGATCTGTGGACTGGCACAGCCAATTCACACAGCATCATTTAATTTTATCTCAGCAGTACCAAAGCTGGTCCCCCAGCACTGGTGACCACATTAGCAGAAATTCTGGCTGCTGCCAGGGCAATGAGAGACCATGTTACTCAATGACCTTTACCTCTTTCTGCATCCTGGATGGGGTGATGCATTTGTTGCTGCAAACTGCCTTTTTTTGCCAACCTGTGCCAGGCACACTGTAACAGCACTATCCCAATGAGGAAACACAGTCCCCAGGGACATCACAAGGATAAAAGCAGTGGATGAAAGAGCGGATGGTCTGATTGCTGCGGTGTTTTGGATAGTGTTTGTAAGGGGATTACTTGAAACGGGAAATGTTTGAGAAATGTATCAGAGCAACATAAACATCTTTAATGTGTTTAAGAAACGGTGGGGTCCTGCTGAAGAAGAAAAAGTAATGAGGGCAATCAGTCTCAGCTCTGTGACTGTAAGATGATTTTAGGCCAGAGGAGCACTAAGGAATCAGAACCGTCTGATGCTCCCAGCAGGGAACAGGGAGATCCAGTTTTCCAGGCAGCTGCTGGAGGTCTTGTGTTGGTGAAGGAGATACTCATCCCCTGTGGACTGAGCAGCCTATCTGTATGGAGAAGACTGTGTAGTCGTGAGGAGGAGAAGGGAGGACTCTGATGGGGAAGCTACTGGGGTTCAGCTGTGAGAAATCTGCCTGATTCAGGAATTGCCTGGACCATCTTGAGTTTCTTGTGCGTGACAGACTTCTCAAGCATCGCTGGCCAGGGAGAAAGCACTCAGACAATAAGGGAAAGCTGGCCTAGGAAAAAGCAGAGCCTGTCTGGTAATTGAATACTTCTCCCTGGCTGTCCAGCATGCTGCGAGTAGAAGGCATCATGAGGCCAAATGCCTGCCACTGCCAAGGGACATTTCTCTTCCACACAGCCACTGGGATTTCTAATCCAGGCTGGGTAGGACAATGCTGTCGTGTTAGTAATGGTATAACTCCCTTAGCAGGCTACTGGTGTGACAGAGGCACAAAGAGAACAGTGTAGGCTGAATATGCACTCATGGTTGCTAAGCCTGTAATCCCAGCTTTGATTTTCTCTCCCTCTCTTTTGGTTGGTTTTTTTTTCTTTAATATTCAGTTCAAACTTAATGGAGTGATTCAGTAGTTGCCTGTTCATCTATCCTTGGCACAGCATCCAGTTCGGATTGCACAGGGTAGAAGGATGGGAGGAGAAAAGGAAGAACTGGGAGAGGAAAGGGGAGGCTGTTTTTTCCCCCATGGTTAGAAGATACTGGTGATCAGCTCTGTTCTCCTATTTGATTTAGATCTGTTGTACCTTTCTTAGGAAGGGTTCAGCAGCTGTTAGCACCTGATGGGAAGTGGTTGGTGGTCTGTGCGATGGAACAAGGCAGGGTGCATGAGTGCCTTGTACTTGTCTGGTCTGTGCTGTGGTTGTTACACTTGTGTGAGACAAGAATCAGTGATGGAGCTCAGCCCTTCCAAGGCTGTGTCTTGAAATTGCACCTGAGACTGTATCTGCACCTCCTTGAGGCTGACCTCTTTTCCTTGCAGATCCTATTTAGACCCCAGATGTTCCTTAGCCCAGGCAGCTGCAAGACCTACTGTGGGGCCCATTCCAGCACCGTAATGTGTTTCTGCATCCAAGCTCTTTTGACTCTGTCTGTCTAGGAATCAGAGCACCTCTTCTCAGAAGCTGCTTAGGCTGGGCAGTGAGAGTCATGGTTGGGCAGTAGTAAGAAGGTGGTTAAGAGAATTGCTGGATAAGCACGTGAAGACATTTGCCCAAGAGCTGATGTCACAGCTGATGTCAATGGCTGAGTCACACCTCAGCCAGGCTGGCCCCAGGTGCTTCTCCCAGGGTAAGTCTTCCCGTTCTTTGTCTCCAGCAGTAGGCAGGCACAGCTCTGCTGAACTGCTCTGGGCTGCAGGTGACTGTGCTGTTGGCTGGGTGACACTGAATGCGGGAGACATGCAGCAGGTCAGCTGGAACAAGCAGTTAAGTGTGGGCTGGTGCGTAAGAGGGTGGTGAACAGGAGAGGGAAGAAAGGTCAGAAAAACTAAGGATCTGGACAATTATGGAGGAGCATGAGAGGACTACTGGAAGGTGAGTTCAGCTAGCCTGCTGCTTCACTTTGGTTAAACATTGTGTTACCCATGGCTTCCCATGTCAGGATTGGTCCTGGCTCCCAAACAGCGGTGTCCAAGTGACACGGGCGTAGTGCTGAGGCAGCATAGAGATGGCACCTCCCTCTGAAGCTGAGGGCAACTGTGGGGCACTCTAGCAGCTTGTAGAATGGTGAGTGATGGCAGGGAGCATGCTGTTGTGCAGGATCAGTGAAGAACTGCTTATCTCTCAAGCTGTTTCTCTTGCTCTTTGCGAGTCTCTTTGCGCTTCTTCTCATGTGCTCGTATCACCTCTCTTTTCTTTCCCTCGCTTGCTCTGTGTGCTTGGTGCATAGCCCAGTGAATATAATCCGTAGATAACCCTCCATTCTCTCTTTTCTTTTCCTTACCATCTTTCTCACTCATCCTTTCTTCCTGTCTCTCACTAACGCTCTGTTGCTCTCCCTGCCAATTTATTCTTCTCTTTCCTCCCACACTCTGTCCCCGTTTAATCAATCTCAGCACAGGCCTGTTTTCCACCAGAGCTGCTGCTTCATGTTTGCTCCCATGGAGGGAGGGCAGGCAGATGTTCTGTTAAAGTACCAGGTAGGAAGCAGGACAGCTGCGCTGAGGCTCTTTGGTAGCCATGGCGGAGTCACATCACCCATTCTGTGGCTTGGCTCCTTCCCTTTGACATGGGAATTCTACAGTTACGAGTGAATCTGCAATGCTTAGAGGTTGTAGGGCTGAAGTCTGTGAAGCTCCTGGAAGTGGGCTAAAGCTCTTTCCGTGCCCATGCAGCGCTTGTTTATCTTTAGTGCTCAGCCAAGCACATTGGAGGCACATTCTCAGCCCTGGCCATTGTCATCTTCACAAAGTTTGCCCCATCCAACCTTTCATGAGAAATAACCCAATGGGATGAAGTTGACAAGATTCAGCCACAGATCCAGATCATCCAGATCATAGAATCATAGAATAGTTAGGGTTGGAAAGGACCTTAAGGTTATCTGGTTCCAACCCCCTGCCATGGGAAGGGACACCTCACACTAGACCATGTCGCCGAAGTCCAACCTGGCCTTGAACACTGACAGGAATGGAGAATTTACCACTTCCTTGGGCAACCCATTCCAGTCTCTCATCACCCTCACAGGAAAGAACTTCTTCCTTATATCTAACCTGATCATCTGGATCTGTGGTGATCCAGAGCTTTATCCTTGCAGATCCCTGGAGACTAAGGGCAACTCCTGTGCCTATAGGTGCTACTTTTGCAAACCAACCGCACCAAGGCCCTGCCTGTCTCCTTCCAGCTCTTTTCTCTCTTTCTGCCATGCTGCTTGTCCATCTTTGCTTCTTTTCAGCATGGTGTCCCTCCGCTTTCAGAGGGAGCTTTCCCCTCCCCATGAGAGCACATGCTCTGTACAGGAGCCTGCCTTGCCTGCTAACTGTTGAGGGCTCGCCTGGAGCTGCCAGATGCTTGCACCTTCTTAGCTCTCATGGGTAGGAGTTGCTATGGGAGACAGGGAGGAAGAAAAAGTGCCTTCCCCAGCAGCGCCAGGAGCCAGAAGTCTTCCATTGAGTGGAGAACACCCCCCTCTTGTGCTCCTTCCTCCCCATAGCCCCCCTTCGGAGAGCGCTCTGCAGAAAGCCGCCTTTGAAGCCCCTTAATTAGTGTCCCGCGTGTCCTGAACGGAGCCCTTCATTACCACCAGCAAGAGGCACAAATTGGCATGTGTTTCGGGTTTGGGCTCAGCGCCAGTCCCCTCCCTCCAAACCTCTCCATCTTCCCCCCTCCTCAGCACACATGCGTGCACACACACACTCTCTCTGTCACCACAAAACACACGCACACAAGGGACCCTGCCAAAAAAGGAGACAACCCCTTTCCAACATCCCAGGTTTGAAGGGAAAAAACAACAAAAAGCAAAGGTTGCTCTGCTCCCTGCCTCCCCCTGGCTTGCTCTTGGCTCTGATGACCCTTCAGCATATGCAATTGCAGGTTGGGGGTCATTATCAGCCCCAGAGTTATCTTTCACAGCCTGTGGATGTGCTCAGAGGGTGCTAATTAGTGAGAGAAGGGCTGATTAGGTTAGGATTTAAGTGTTTATTTTCTCTTCTTTGTGTGTGTGTGTAAAAATAGTGGAGCCAGATGGGAGTCCCAGGAATGATGGGAAAAAAGGCAGCCAAGAGTCAAAGGAGCGGAGCCTGTGCCCCGTCTCATCTCTCCTGCATGCACAGGGCCCTTGGTGCCCAGGTACTATACAAGCTCATAGCATTCCTGTAGCACACATGCTGCCACCGCATGTGCCCTGCGGCTGTCTTGTCCTTGTTGGCATTGAGCTGGACTTCTCCTCTCTGCACAATGTTCTGTAGAAGCTTTTAATGCCTGCAGAGCCTCTCATCTCCATCACCTCTTCTTTTCCAGCTCAACCTTAAACCCCTTTGTTTCCCCCCCATTTTTTCTTTCAGTGTGTCCTTTAGGCCACCACTAGCAGCAGCCAGCAGGCTATGGATTCACCAGCCTTTCAGATCCACCCCTTGTCGTGGCAGGATCTCAGCCCCACATGCACTGTCCCCATAGAGACATCCCCACCTCACAACCTTGCCTTACTGAGGAAATTCAGCCCTCCTTTGCCATGGGCTTTGCCTCTCCACTGCAAA